GGYTTTAGGTGTTGACTGCCTCACAATGATGGTATATTTGACTTGAATTACTGCTAAATAGTTGAAAAATATACCAAATTTAAAGGTCACTGACCAATKATTTTTGCATGTGTTGGTGGACATAATAATATACAGCTCATCCTGGTTCAAAGACAAACACTGTGTTTTTCATAGCAGACCATCTCATTGTACGTGAAGCTACTTGGGAGACTTGTTGGAACCACGTTCCAAGTGCAAGTTGTGTGAMTGTGCATGTTGGATATCTGACATGAGCTTCTCAGAAAGCTGCTGTCATTCTTGTGCTTGGGATAGTAATAACGATTTGCATCTGAATTGCAGAATAAATAATCCTCACCTTTGCTTAGCTGAACATGCACTTCTTTTTTTTTGTCTGGGCCAAAGGCATGCATATATCTCACCTGTGTATTCCATTTTATTCCCACCCATCCACACATCAAGGAGCATGTTGTTCACTCCTRTACCTGTGTGTACTAGTCCACAGGCCCAAGAGAAAGACCTGTAGTTGATGTGCAGAGCTACTCAATTGTGTAACTGATGGCAGCAAACTTGAGGATGAAGTGAGACAAAAGGTAGCAAAAGATCAGCACTGTTGAGAGTTTCTAAAAGCTGATGAGTCACTCTTGTCACTTCTCTGAAGTAAAGGGCAGGTTGTTTCTGTTCCCTGTGTTTAAGGTTTCATTGTAACACCTGATGTTCCTAMAGGGTAAATTGTTTTAGCAGCAACAGGTGAAATAAATAAATAGATGAGTAAAGCAAATAACTGATTACAACAATATACAACAGAAGAATTTACAATAGAGACAAGAGCCCAGCCAACAACGTGACAATTAGAAAGTCTGGGTAAATGCACTGGAAATCACAGTCTTTGCATGCTTAAGCAAGGAGACTGTCATTAATACTGAATCTTCTAAATTCTACAGTAAGGAAAGTGTTAGGCTTTACAGCTGCAGCTGTTTTTACCAGTGACCACAGAACCTGAAGGGTAGGAAGAATCAGCTAGGCTGGAGCGTGCCAACCCAAAACAATGCACAGGCTTACCACAGCTGATGAGTCACCAACCTCTTAATAAACTAATTTCCTCAACAAAAAATGGAATTGATCTTAGGCCAGCTTTGGTTGTTTAGAAAACAGTGAGCACTCCAGTCCATCTAGATGAATGGACAGATAATCCTTTCTTCCATCTTGCCTCCAGGCAGTTGGTATATGACATCTTTATCAACCAATGCACTGAAGTAGTCTATGAATAACCTTAAAAGATGGACATAGTCTTAAATCTTTGTCTTCAGCTCTTCTTCACAGGTTTCAATACAAAATCTTTGCTTCTTGCCATCTTCAGACATTAGTTGTTGCTGTTACTGCCTCGTTTGTTTTGCTGCAGTGCTCAAGGTGCTCAGCCAGCAGTTGTGCTGCCCTTGAACACAATTCAGGCAGGACTTTCTGAGCCTCAGGACMATTCTCATGGTACATTGTTGTGGGACATGAAAAGGGGGTGAAGCAAATTGGAATAGGATAAAGATACAAGAAATGAATGTTAACTAAAAAGCAAAATTATGGATGGGAGGGGAGTTGTTTGCTACTGTTTTGGTGTTTTTTTGTAATTTTAACCAAATGTATCCCTCTCCATTCAGGAGGAAAAAAAGCATGGTTACTTCTCATTAAGTGCAAGGGTTTAAGATGGTTGCCAGTGCAGATTTCCTAAAAAGGCTGTGTCCTGATCAGGCACTTGAGTATACTCTGGAAAGCCTTCCTCTTAGACATGTCATTTACTCATTTTCTAGCACTGGAGGGAAAGAGTCRCACTTGCCTGCCCAGGGCCTGGCATGACCTATGGCTTCCTAACCAGGTCCTCTGAGAAGTTATGTGTGTCCAACAGTGGCTGAACTTGGCTCATTCCTCATCTTGGTCATATTACAAGAGRAATTAGAAGAGGAAATGGAAGAGAAAGCCTGGATTGGTTTTGGTTTTTTTCCTCTTCAGTTGTCATATTTGGATGTTCTTGTATTTGATTATGGCTCTCCAGAGAAGCCTCCTTTTTTGTGTAGGGGTGTAGAGGAAGAAGATGGAAARGGACATGCATGTCCCAGTGATGAAGGACATGAGGACTAAAGGAGCAGGAAGTTTTTCATGAACAGAGAAAAGAAAGGAAGSACAGAAGTGGGAGTAGGACAGGAACAGCTGGCAGGACAACAGAGGCTTGAGGCTGCCTACAATCAGAGTAAAAATCCTATGAATAACATTCTTGAAGTCCAAGTTTGCTCAGTTGTGCTTGCTTGGATCTAAATCATGTGCTGTTTCTCCAAATCTGGTACCACATGCTGTTCCTGTGGGGAACCTGAGCCAGACTCACCACCTTTGTGATGCTGCCAGGTCTGATGATAATCCAGATAATGTGAATGCCAGTGTAACTGTGCAGGCTCAGATGTGGCAATGCCTGGGAAGCAGAACCAATCCCTCAAAGCAGGAGAGGCTGATTTTGCTTTTGTCGTCACCAGTAGCAGAAAAGGCTACACAAGCTGCTTGCCAGCAACCAGCAGTTTCCAAAGGAATGGTACCTTGGAAGATCTCAAGGGGGCAAGGGAAATTCATGCTGAGGCAAACACTCCTCTGTCTAGCACTGAAATCCTAAATTTGTCTAGTGGGTGAACTGACTGATGGGAGTTAAAGGCTTACTTGTTGCTTGCCAAACCAGAGGTTTGATTATTCAGGCTGCACAGAGATAATAGCAGCAGATATAATTTGAATAGGTAATCATGTGCTTTTACTGTGACCAGCACATGGCATTCAAGCATGGCCAGTGCTTGGGAACTGGAAAGGAATTATGCAAAAACAAGCAAGATCTTTTTTGTTTTTCTTTTCTTTTTATTTCTTTATAAAGAAAGGAAAGGATGGGCATGCCAAACCAAAATGGCAGAATACAGACAAAGGTGAGCACTAAGACTTCTCCTTGGGGGCCATCCACAGTAAACTCTCGCATTGGTAGGGTACAGCTCCCCATCCCTCCTGCCAGGAGGAACCCAGCACGAGCCAGCCCTTCCACACAATCACAGCTCTTTGAAGTTGGTTTGCACAGTTTCACAATATCATCAGCCCACGTCACAGTGGGGCAGCAGCAGCTGAGGCCAGCAACATTAGCAGCAGCAACATGGGATWCAGTGCACAGAAAAAAGGGAGCAAAGAGCTTGTTTGCAAACAATTGTAGGTAACAATATAGAAAGTCCAAAGATCATCATTCTGCTATAAAAATATTACACTTCATAAAACCATGTACTATAAAAAAAATCTATTCAGAAACGCTGGTAAACGTAACAAATATCTGTACACTGGCTGCCCTTTTCATACAGGAAACATAAAAAGCGTGAGCCTCAGAAATCATCATTTTGTAAACATGAATATGGAGCCTGTAAACAAAGTGCTAGATCATGGTTCAGATTTTGCCAAATTAATTTAATACTACCCAAGTAAATCCCTTGCACACATCATCACCTAACGGCCAAACTCCACCACTACGACAGGAAAGAGGCTTGACTCCAGGCTCTCCCACTAGAGTCACTGAAGGTGCACATGGATTAAGGAATTAACACAGGAGCAAAGGCAGCAAGATTTGGCTCTGAGTAGCAAATCAGAAGCAATCTTTTAGCAACTGGTTTTAATTTTCTGCACTTCAAATTCATATTTCCAGTCTCTCTTTTCAAAATTTGCCTTCATCAAAGAGGGCATGCATTTTCCTCATTTTCCTTTCAGGCTACAGTGTCTCTGAAAAATATGTCCATAAGATCCTTTTAGGAATCATAATGGAGCACAACTTGACTCTGTAACTATGTATACCAAAGAAGCAGTAGCTGGRCAGTTCAACAGTGAACATCATGGTTTAMACAATATGGGATGCCAAAAAGGGCCAAATTCTTATTTTAGAGCCTAAACTTCAGGCTGCAAAATATTTTCATGTGCAAACTTTGTGATGACATGCATGATCGCATGCTGGCTAACATACATGTGTTGGCACCTAGTTGCACCTGGAAATGCAAGGTCTAGTTTCACAAAAATCTATGAAGGTTCAAATAAAGTGTGGCTCTAAGAATTATTGTGACTTTCTTTACTCTGTAACATTCTTGTTCTGCACAGACTTTAATCCAGCCTTCACCTGAATACTGAGAGCTTTAGTTCTGTGCACACCGAGAACCTTGCTTTTAACTTCACTTGACCTTCTGAGTTTAAAATCTCATGGTCTTGTGAACTTTCAGAACAGGAGAGGGTGGAGAATTGTTGTGTGTGTGTCTGCTGTGGACAGACATGGAGGGAGGAGTGTGGGACTGTGTTCACACAAGAACTGAGGTACCAAAAGCAGCTCAGCTGCAATGTTTTTAGGCAACACAAGGTATCAGGATCAGGGTCAGCTAAGAAGTAAGAATATGCACTTCTAAAGGAAAATGATGTATATGTCAAAAGAGGAAAAGAAAATTTGGCTTGCATTTTTTTTTTTTTTAATGAACTATACTAAAGAATCTTATTGAGATTATTTTAGCCTTTTTAATATCTGAAGAGCTGAGCTGCTTCCCTGTCTTTTAGGATTCAGATATGTGAACGTGGAGCTCACACAACTCTTGCTTGAAGGTGTCATCTCTGGATGTCCAACAAGAGAACTTTGCTCTTAAATATTTGCTTTGGCATTTCTGATACACACATCCTAAGACAGAGCTTCAAAACACCTGTCTGAAAATAATTTTCCAGTGAAAGCTATGATGTATTTTCTGCTATAGTAATCTGCYGTCTCTTCTGTGATTGACTGCCTTACTCCTTCTAGGGATTGAGAAGGCTGTAGCAAGAGTTTCTTCTGTAAAAATGGATGATTTGAAAACAAACCCTGGGGTTTTTTAGTATTTTTTTTAAGTGAATGGTGGCTAAAGTATATATACTCAACACTATTTCCCCATGACTTGCCTTCTATGGCCCTACACCTTCTGGTTACAGGGAGATTATATGAACTTGTGGCAAATTTTCAGAAGCCTGGACTTGTCCTCCCTCTGTGCACAGGGCTTGGCACTGGGAAGTGCTGTTGTACGAACATCACACCATTTATAGCCCTGACTCTGAGCCACACCTGGGTTCTGCTCAGGAAAAGAGGGACAGAGGTGACACTGAACTTGCAGCCACTCCAATGTGTTGACARCACTGTTGACTAAGCTGACTCTGTTGCTTTCCTGCTGTCCCCAGCCATTTGTTCTGACGCACAAACCTTTGCTTTGTCCCAGGAGGTGTGAGGGACAGATGAGCAGCTGAAGTGAAGAGAAAGTGACTGCCTGCCATTTTTAGTGTCAGCACTTGCATGTGCTGGCTTAAGTAGAGTAGGCCAGCAGCACAGGAAACCTTTGTGCCATCCATGGCTTAGGGGATGCTCATAATTCATATCACAGACACACAGCAATTGCTTTACCAAGGTTTGKATGTATTCAGAGGTACCAGAGCGGGGCTCAAGTTGTTAGAGAGAGCTGAAAGAGTCTGGCTGAAAAGAAAGCCCAGTATTACACCCAGGGTTATGTGAAGCACAGGGACATAGAACTTGCACTTTGTGAGAGTGTGACACGTGATGTCATGACATGCTTCACTCAGCTCTCTGTGCTTGGGCCATCCCCAGCTCTCAGGAAGCTGAAGAAGATTATTTTCTGGAGAATGAAACCAGAATCTGCTCTCAGATCGACTTCTTTTTCAAATGTAGAGATTAATTACAACATGTCTGTGACGGTCACTTGTCATTTGCTGAAATAGTCAGGATTTATAAATGCTATCTGCTGTTAAAACTTGCTTAGAAAAAATTAAACTAATTTTAAAMACATGAAAATTCATAAGGGGCTCGGGTAGGAGTCAGCTCTCCCTTTAAGCAGCATCTCCCACACCTCTGCCATATACACAAGCTGTGGTGTTTTGTAGGAACCGGGGTAATGTTTCCCATAATATTCTTCATCAGGGCCATTTGGCTTCTTCAGAGTCATGGASCTGCAGAGGTAGGGTCCAGCTCTGAAAAATGTGGGGCAGTCACTTCTCTACTGAGCTGAACAACAAAATCTGCATGGGTGTTATCTTGTGTAACCTGCTCTAAGTGAACTTGCCTTAGCAGGGGGGCTGGRCTAGATGGCCTCCAGAGGCCTCCCTTCCAACCCCAACCATTCTGTGACTGTGGTTTTGAAGTGGGTCTCCAGATGAGCTGACTATGTCTGTGATAGGTACACTGTGGTATGCCTTGGACAGTCATTGCATCGTGCACCTTGCACCAAAATGTAACTATTTGTAATAGCCTAAGGCACTAGGTGACTTTATGGACTAAAAACTTGCAAGGTAGTATGTTCTAATTCAAAGAGATTTTTAGACTTTCAGGAGTTAAACATAACATTTACTAAAAGTCTCTTAATGTGATTTAAGGAGAGAGAGGCTAAGCCTTTTTCAGTTTTCTCCTAGGGAAAAAAAGTGCTTATTGCTGAGCTACACCGTGGCCAGGAGTACAGAAAGGAGTTGCTGGTATCAAAGCAGCCATTGCAATAATCAGGCCACAGCCTATGATCCCTCCTGGATCCAGCTGGGCCAGGGGAAGTGGTGGCTGCCATCAGTCTGAAATAATGACTGACAATGGCTTGTTCCTCTGTTTCTGCCTCCCCTGGATTTTGTATTTCAGTCCAAGTGAGCTCGATCAGCAAGACTGACAGTGGGAATGGTTTAATTGGGTTCACTGGATTGGAACAGGTCAGAAAACCTTCAGAAGAGCACCTCCCATGGCCAGGCTGCAGAGGGGAGACTGATCTTCCTTTGGAAGTGTGTGGGGATGCACATCTGGGACAGAGGGGAGGCTGGATGGGACAATTTCTTCCACGGATGGGCACAGCCTTTCTTCTACACCTGGAGTAATCACTACCACCATCTATGATGAATTTCAAACACTGCGGACAAAATTCTCCAAGTATCACCTCAGCCACTGACTACACTTCTGTCCTCRTTCTACAAGTTGGGACAGCATTTTTTTTGTGAATGTGTTTACATATAGACACATGTGCACACATCTGGATGCATTGGCAACAAAACCTTAAACAAAGCCCATGATATGTATGGGCTTATAGTTCCTTATATATAGGCTTATAAAGTAATTAATGAGCATTAAGATGTTTCAGTCCACATGTGTCTATGTTAACAGTTGGGTTAGAGGTAAATCAACAAGACATTAAAATCATTAAACTTTGGGAAGAGCAACATCCTGTAAGCTTGGCCTACAACAATATTCAGTTAAAAAWTGCTCAAAGAATTAAGACATTATATCTAGAAGGAATTAGACTTTTTCCAATGGTTATGAGAGAAAGAGAACTGAAGCAATGCCAGATAACCAGGGAGATAACCATTTTGTCTCAGAGGGAGACAAAATCATACCTAATACTAGTAACACTCTTTCTGCCCATATACAATACCACACAATTACTCTGACCATTAAAAATATACTTTGTTAAAACAGCACATACCAGCTGGGACCCCAGAAAATCCAGCCCTCCCTCCAGGTTGCCCTTTACATCCTTATGCCCACCTTGCCTTCTTCCAGGACAGAAGRCTTGGAGGAAAACAAGGTCTGGCCAGAGCTATTCAGCACCAGCCAGAATATCCCTACCAGTGGATATCCCCACAGCGTGCTGTTAGGGGAAACATGTGAGACTTAACTTCTAACAAGCAGAAAATTCTAAAGGCAGCATAAAGCTGACACTGAGCACAGTTTAGGCAGAGGAGAGAAAGTGGGCYGCTGTGAACACGACCAGAGACACCCACCTGCACGTTTGCACGCATCGGTCCCAGCCGACTCAGCCTCTGGGTGAAGTTTTCACAGCGTTGTTTATTTTAGAAAAGAGAAGGGCTTCAAGGAGAGCTGCTTTGCAGCGATCCTCTGTGCACAGCACATAAACTTGAACATTAAATATCAGTTTAAATTATTAAGAATAAATTTAAATTTAAAAATAAACTAATGCAAACAAACTTCAGTCAACATTGAAGCAGAGCTAGTTTTAGGAAGAATATAACTATAGCAAATGAAACCCCTTGGACACTTTGAGGAGTGAGCTAGTAATTCTAGTTCAGCATCAAGATGCTCAAACTACCCAGCAAGCAAAAATTACCATGTCTAGCATATAAAGCTCCATGTTCACATTTTGCTTTTTTTTTTCTTCCCTGTCACAACAGACAAAAGCCAACACAGCACAGTAGCTTTTCCCACAAAGCATCTGAAGTGACAAAATTCACTCAGAAAATAAAAATTAAAAGCAGTACAAAGAAGAATCCCAGTCAGCTTGTGACCACCATAAGCCAAGATGGGTAAGAAAAAGAATAAAAAAATAGTTCACATCCAGCACCACAAACCTTGCTTGCTTTCTCTGAAACCAGGACACGAGAAAAAAGTCCATTTTGCAGAGATCATTTCAACAAAAGTTTTCTTTCCCTGSACCTGGAAAATCCAGGTATTAGGACACACAATTTTTGTTTTATATGTATATAAATACACATGTACATATTCATATAAATATAAAAGCAGAGCATCCTCCTGTTTCTCCTCATAATTTATTATTATTAAAGCTTGTAACAGAGTTGGCTGAACTCTTCAGAGGTGGGTACTCGCTGCACACACATGGCATGGAGAATTTARCTCTGCTAAAGCAGAACACCCAGGCAGGGACATGAAATGTTGGGTGATGGAGGCAGATTTGGGTGAACAGCCAGGGAAGGGCAGGGAGCAGTAACTGGAAATGACCCCTGTTGCTCCAGGGTGGCACTCTGGCCTGCCAGAACTGCTCTTGGTGAGCAGTGGATGTGGAAGTGATGGCTGCATCGACCCCCTCAGCCCCTGGGCAGCCTGGCCACCTCTTCTGCACCAGTCGCTCAAGAGAGACTGTCCCTGCTTTGAGAGGCAGTCCCAGTTTGCCCCTCAGCCACCTGCACTCTGGTTGCCTTTGACAGTGCTCTCCACCCTGCTGCCATGTCCTCAAAGTCACCCACACTTTTCCTTGCCTCTTCTTCGGTTCCCCAGCCCCCCTCAGCTGATCCTCCCAGACCTGCTTGCTGGCCAAGACCAGACACCTTCCTCTTGCCTGATCCACAGGCTCTCACTCAACACTGCTTTACATTAATGCCTTCCCACAGTCTCATAAGACCCATTCTTTTCCTCAGAAGACCGAGTTTCTCATAGGTTTTCTGCTCTCTGAGACTTTTGAGCAAGTTAGGGCTGGTGGCACACTCTCCTTGAGAGGTGCTAGCTTCATTCCAGAGAAGGCAGGGGCAAAGTGCAAAAGATTCCTCAAAAATAGAAGTTATTTCCACCACCACCAGCTCTCTCTCCCTCATGTTGTACAGCACTTGCTTCAMATAAGTATTATTCCTGTGTCTCTGCAGCCTTCACTCTTCCTGGGGTGAGTGGAGATCAGTAGATGTCTACTGGTGACCAGCCAAGTCACTTCATMATGACGTGTGCTGGAACAGCATTCAAACCCAACTGCGATCTTCATAGCAAAAAGTGCTTTTCGTGAGAAGCAAAATTAAAACTGTTCCCATGGAACATCTTACAGACTCAAAAATAGTTTCCTTACGGTGGAAAGGATGAAGCTCACCTATTCTATTTGGCTTTATTTCAGTAAAGAAACAGAGCTACTGGCACATCTTTGTGAAGTTGTTAAACTCAGGACCCTGGCTGGAATGTAAAAGAAATGATGTAGCAAATGAGAACTTTGCCTCATGTGGGCTTCTGCTAGCTCTGGCAATTTWGTGTGCAGGTTGTCCAAAAAAGTTCTGCTAGCCAAGTAAAGATGAATTTCTCAAATAATTAGCTGTGGGTTTTCAAGGAGGCCTTTTGGGGGTACTGCTACAATCTGGTAGAGGTAAGTCTTTTCATGCCTCGCCGCTGAGCCAGATTGGAGGACAATACAGGCTCCAGCCTTGGTGCCTGAGGTGCTCGGTTTAAAGCAAAGTAAGTGGCTGCCATTGCACCCTGTAAAATAGAGAAGGAGAAAACTTTGAGCTGAAATTCAATTCTTTGATGCTTTTCCCTTCCCCTATTCAGTCTCCTGAAAAAACTGTCACACATGCACAATTTCCATGAAATGGTAACATTAAGGCTGGCAGACAGCTAGAGTGTCTCAGATTCGAAGTGGTGAATAGCAGGATTTGCCACCAGGTTCTTATAATGCAGACTGAAGTTAAAAATACTGAGAAGGTGACAGTCACAAATATTTGCTGTTAATACATTAAATTTAGCCTCTGTGGCTAATAATCTTCCCGATTCCTCTATCACTTTCCAAACTATTTACACAAATGACAGCTCATTCTGCAAGGAAGGAARAGGCAAACATGTAGGAGGTACCTTCACCAGGTGAACATCCTGTCTGCTGAGTTGGTTTTGAGACAGATACTCCCTGTTCACTATCCATGGATGTCTCAGGACTTGGACTGCTGTGAGGCGCTGATGAGGGTCTACATGAAGCATCTTAGACACAATGTCCTGGGTTTGAAAGGAAGAAAACAGTACAAGGGAAAAAGTAATTAATAGCAGTGCAGGTTTTACTAGGTGCCACTCCCGGTGGCAGTGTCATCATTAGCATGTTCAAYAGAGAGAGTGATGAACTTTAGATAAGCTTTATACTCTTTAAGTGTAAAATATTTTCAAGTGTAATGTTCAACTCTCAGCTGATAATCCAGTAAAAAGATAATGTGGAGGGTATTCATCTGACTGAATAAGTGTTAATTACTAGTGACCTCATAGGAGTGATAAATGCCTAGAGAGAAGATGCAATCTGGAGGCATCTGCTCACTGACCTCRAAGAACACTTACAAGAGAAACCTAGAACAAAAATCTAACACTCAGGCAACTGAATTCCAATTAGGTAGCTGTACAACATCTAAACATTTTAGTTTCAAAACTGGACAGCTGATAAAGAAATCCTTTATCAGGATTTCTCTACTGTGAGGCCCATAAGTGTTGGTAGCAAGATTAGTACGTTACTAGGATTGATTACAGTTTTGTAGTGCAATGTGCCAATGTTCTTCCATTGGATACCAACATTTGCTAAAAATGAAACCWCTTCTAAGAATCTTTAAATCCTGTCAAAGCTTCTGATTAATGCTGGGCAGCCGGAAGCTTACCAGCTTTCCTGCCCATCTACCTGTCTCMCAGACTTCATGCCCAAAATTCTCAGCATCAGATGAATTTTTTTTTCTGGGGTTTCCATGCTTTGTGATAGGTGGCAGCCTAAATTGTGAATTGTACATGAATTAAAACTGCCTGCTCCTGTTTAACTGAGCAACAAAAAGGTGATTCACATATAGATCATACCTGTATGGCATTGACAAACATACACTTCTTTTGAAAGTGCAGTTGCACAAAAAAAGAGTTCTGTGGTATTTAAATCTCAAGAGAAAATCTGAGAGGGTTCACTGACCTTTGCAGTATCAGACACTGAATCCCAGTTTCCTCCTGTAAGAGCATATTTGCCACTGCCAATCCTGGCCAGAATCTCCTCTGGGGTGTCATCTGGTCCATTTGCAAAAGGAGTGAATCTATTTAGGAAAAAAAAAAAAAAAAAAAAAAAAACAAAAAAAAAAAAAAAAAAAAAAAAAAAAAAAAAAAAAAAAACAAAAAAAAAAAAAAAAAAAAAAAACCAACAAAAAAGAGAGAGAAAGAGAAAACCTATGTAATTTGCAAATATGTGATTTCTAGGTCCTAGTTTTAACTGCAACAGGAATTTGGTTCCAGAATGCACCTGATACTGATGCTGCTGCTTCATCTTCACTCAAACTATACAGGCTGGTGGTTCCTCATATTGATCTGCAAMAATCTGCAATTCCATAATTGTTTTAAAAATTTTTGTTGTGTAATAATTTTTTAGCAATGAAATATTCTTTGTAAAAAGAGTCAGGTTTTAACTTCTTGTTTTAACTCTGCTTTATTGCCAACACCCTTACTGCCAATATCAGTGCCTTGATAATGTCAAGAAAGGACAAAAATTACAAAGGAGAAAAAATAGGATGTGAAACAGAAAAAAGGAAAATAAAAAAGAACCCTTTCTAATCTATTTTGAAATGTTTTGTTAACTGTAATGAGCAAGTCAGTTGGGCAAAAGAAATTATCTGCAATAGGTTACTTCCTTGTCCAGCCAGTCAGAAACGACTGGTAACTTGCACCCAGCTTTACAAAATCAGTGTCACATGCAGAGAGTACACTTTTTGTCTTCAGCAAGTGACAAGAGATAAGGTTTTTGCAGCTGACTAAAATCTAGCAGGCCAAATTTCACTCTGTAATCTTGAACAGCTGCGTAGGTTTAGAAGAAGCAGGTATCTTAGATTTTTATATTTTCCCTTCAGTATGTCTTTTCTYTTCTGAAAACTTGCCAGAGTGCTTTTTAGATTGTTAAACAGTTGGTTTGGCCACAGCTTCCTATCCCACCTGGTTTCTGGTAGCAAATTCAATCCCTCCCACTGTATTTGCTCATTTCAAAAACATTTCAGACTTCACAGCAGCTCAGYCCAAAGATATATGTAATGTTATGTCAATCTATAGATATCAGGAAGGATGCAGTTGCAGTTAAGGGCTGGCAGAAACTCTGAGGTTTATCACTAGCTCCATTACCAGGATCCCAGGTCTGTGCYCTAGTCCTGTCTGTCTGAGTCCTCTCTGCTCATAGTGATGATAGGAGGAGAAAAATGTCATAGACGTAAATGCTAGCCAGTTCCTGCTAATCTCCTCTGATGAAGAAGAACAAGACCATTCATAAACTCAGTGGTGGCACCTCAAAAGCATTTCTCCACTGGTTGTCTTACTATTATTTTCTCTGGCAAGCGTGGAAAAAGTGAAATACAAGTTACCAGCACCTGTCAGTAAATTTAATATCCACTAAGTTGTGTTATTTGTATTTCTGATTCAACTATATTTGGATTTTATTTTTCACTAAATTTTTATTTAATAAAGAAGCATTTTGAATATAACCAACMAAACAAATGTAACTGTGGGTAATGTGTTAATTCTGTTTTAGTGATTCCAGCTGTGTAGCAGACTATGGCATCAGCCAAACAGAAATAGGTTCTTGGAGATCCTAGCAGACTGGGAGACTTCCCCAGAAAGTCACAATATATTCCAGCTGACCTTGAGCACATTTGTAATCAAGAATAAAATAAATGAGATAGAGACCTCTGGCACCTTTCCAGTCATTGCTCCAGAGAGGCCATTCCCAGTCATTGCTCCCTGCCTTCCCCTGGCTSGTCACCCAAATCCACCAGGCAAAAGGTGCAAATAACAGAAAGTCAGAATCCAACTCTTTGTTTTCTGTATAAAACCCAGGAATGTATCCAAGCTTCTTGTCACAGCTGAATGATCACAAAACAGTTTAGAGAGSTCACTGGATAGCTGCAAGCTGCACTTGGGTGTGATAGATATGCACACACCATACTCTGAGAAATTGAACTCAGGGGTCTGATAACTCTAGATTGGATTTGCAGACTTTATTTCCCAATCACCCCAGYACATCTAATTCCTATCCTTCACTGCTTATTTCAATCTGTGTCTTTCCCTGGATCTTCTTGTGTTACTATTTAACTTTAGCCAACACATTGATAGGGGGATTTTTGTTGAGTACCTTTCAAAAGTTTCTGCTGCCTGTTGCTATTCTTGCTGATCTCTCAGTTTACTTTCTGAATCATATTTTTCAAATAGCATCTGAAAGCTATAGGTAGCAGTTTTTTTAGCTTTTAAAGGATTTTTAGTTTTTTAAAGCTCAGACACTTCAATAACAATAACAAATGAAGAATAATGGAGCTGCAGAGAATATATGCATTAATAGAATGAATTAACATCCTTCCACAGATAAGGTGAACTGGAGATGTGGCTCTTCATACTCCTATACACCTCTCCTAATGGAAAACTTRAACACTGCTGAAGTGGTGAGTGAACCTTTTAGGAGTCTAGGTCTCTGTGCATGCTTACAGGCACTTTCTCTTAAAAACATAAAAAAATTGAAAAGTATCAAAATATTTATGAGTTCTAGAAAAAACTCATGCTAATTCTAGGTCTTGAAATCTATTTGCTTGCTTTATACAACTTCTCAAAGAGGCCAGAATCCCTATCTGTGACTCCTTTCAGGCTGGATCAGTGCTGCAGTGCTGAGTCTGCCAGAGACTGGTGCTTTAGGAGAAACTGGTCACTCACCCTGCCAACATGGTGTACAGCAGGATCCCCARGCTCCAAATGTCACAGGCGGCATCATAACCTTGGCGTTTCAGGACCTGTGTGAAGGAAAGAGAGAGGGGAAAATGGGTGAATCTGTATTCCTGAATTTTCAGCTTCTGATCCACAAAAAGGACTATTTAGTGGCTGTATCTGCTGATGTTTCCAGGGCTTAGCTGCCTATCTGCCTTGGACAGCTGGCTGTCTGGAGATTGAAATGTCCAGTAGTGCTGTGGAACAAAGTGAAGCCCAGGCTGGAATGAGCTGGTCAGTGCTCAAACCCAGCACATCTTTCCCCTTCACAGTGAGACAGACAAGTGCAGTTTGTTGGAGACTCTGGGAGCACCTTTGACCATCCAACATGCAGCAAAGCAAACCAATATTTCAGTGATTTAAACCGTTTTATATATATATATAAAAAACAACTTCATTAATACTTTGAAACACATCCTCCTAACATAAAAGTTACCAACAACGCTGTGGATGCATCAAGGGYTAAATGACAGTGATAAGTATTCCAACTGAGCTCAGTTTGGATTTGATAYAGCAAATGGATGCACACTGAAGCATACCTAATGTCAGACTAATGAAGACGCATGACAGATGYAAAGAAATTGCAAAGACTAATCTTACCTCTGTACAAAGAAAAGTGGGCACATTTAGACTGCAGCTAACAGATAGCAGGGTAAAACCTGACCCCCTTTTTCTGTGAGGCAAACAAGACCCATGATAGTCAGTAGAGATCTGAGCAGTAGGWTCAATATCGTTACAGGATGGTAAGGTACACAGTAGGGTAAAATCCAGACTTCATTTAGGCTAGTGCACACTAGAAGAAATGCCTGTTTGGGTCAGTGCAGGTCCAAGTGAAAGTGGAGTCACCAATTAAGCTCAGGGACCACCTCCATATCTTCCACTTGCCTATGAAAGCAAATTACCTTTCTTTTTATTCAGTTCTGACACATGAAGAGATTTCTGTCCTCTTCAGCTGGACCAGCAGATAGATCTTTTTGCAAAGCACATGAAAAAGGAATGTACAAATTCAGCAAGTCTTTCTCTCACCTGCCACCTTATTACTCAGGAGTGATTTAAGTATCTGAAGTCYATCCCAAAAAAGACCAAATTCTGCTAAGGAAAAGCAGTTTGAGAAAATGTTGCCTCGACAGATTTCAAAATGATGAGTGGCAAAGCAACCATCTGCCAGGTATGCTGCTCAGCAAACATTTGCTACCTGGAAGAAAATCCAACAAACCAAAAAAAGCTCCCACAGCCACAAAATCAGGCAAAAAGCTTCAGTTCCTCCTGTTTACAAAGCTGGTAAAATCAAGCCTTTGCCACTCTCTCTCCTGAACATAATACACAGGCTTTCTGGATGATTTATTTCTGTTTCTTTAGTTCCTGCATTCCTTCTCCCTCTATTAATGTTAGTTTTTATGGGGGAAAAAAAAAAACAAACTTCTTTGCTATTTGACAAACTCAGTTACTTCTTGCTTCAGCTGTGAGACTGAAAACCCAACATTTCTCTTTTGTTGTGGTCAATCTCATCGCGTTTTGAACAGCTACATTTTCACTCTCTGTTCTGCCTGCAATAACCAAGGACAATCAAGTCCAAGGTGAGTGACAGAAAAATGGGGCAATGAWGACACTTAGTGGAGCAGGTTAATAAGGAAGTGGTTACACAATCCCAAAATGATGGTGTTATCATTCTGTTTGCAGGAGCACTGCYAGACAGCAGGGACACTCACTGTGCCACTGCCTAGGGACAGCTTTGCAGGCAAATATCTTTTTATCAACAGYAGCTTCACCCCACGGATAACAACAGGACCCAGTGAGTTAACAGTTAGTGTCACTGCTATTTGAAAATTACTCYAGCAGCTCTGTGTTTAAAATGAGTACAGAGCTGATGGGAGACAGTGTGGGAAACCTTGGCCAAAAAGACTGGTGTTTGGAAGGAGATGTTATGGAACAGGAACAGGCATTTCTTAGARATAGATCAGTCAGGGAARGAGCTTTTCAAAAGATGCAATGGTGTCCTGCTGTAATGGATGCTGAAAAATTTACCACCAACTAAGGAGTTTAGGTCACTTCAAGAACTTAGTGGGATCTGGACAGAGGCAGAAACTGGTTCTYAGTGCCACACCGTAGCAGGACATTGTGGAGATAATGGGAGTCCTGSAGATAATGATACCCTGGGTTCATCCAATTCTGATAATAGCTCAGATATTTATCCAGCCCCCTTTAATATCTATGTGCTTTGACTTACTGGGTTAACAATGTTAAAAATTCAGGTTTTCCTCAGTTGTGAGAAGCAGGGATGCGAACGTGTACAAAAGCTAATAAAAATCCTTCGTAATTTCAAATGGCTAAGCAGTATTTCTTCACGAATTTTGTAGGAAAACTGCAGAATAAAATATTTTTACCTTATCCAAAAGCACTCTTAGTGCATCAGTAGGACAACAGCCYGGCCCTTTGCTCGCTGCGTGCAGCACGACTCTCACTAGGTGGCAGCGTGCCTCCTTAGGATAGCCTTCATCTTCCCTCTTGCTATCACCTAAGCCCCAAATTAACAGTTTCCAAAATAAAGTGAGATCCAAGTGGGCAAACATGTCCTCCTTCTTCARTCCCTGCCCTCTTTGTCCCCAGCTCAGCTGAATTTCTGCCTCCTTGATWAGTTYCATGAGCATGTGGCAGACACTGCARTCRGACTCRGAGAAYGTGAAAGTCAATTCTAGGCTGGAGGGCAGCATTACATCACAGGTAAAATGTAAAAGCACTTAAGGCTTTATGTAAGCTCTCTGCCAGTTCTGGTAATGTTTCAATTAATTTCCAATGTCTCCTGCATTAGCAGGACCCATCTTACTCACCACGAATGTCTGGGAGTGTGATTTCTGCTTTCAGTTCAAATCAGAAGAGTCCAATCTGAAACTGGCACAGTTTGTGATTACAGACACTATACAAAATAGCCCATCGTGAGAAAAAGCTACACCTATTTTAAGCATCTTGTACCTTGGAGGAAATCTGAGTGCTTCAAATATTGCAAACATGATTATTTTTGTGGCTTAGAAATTGAATTGCTGTGGTGCCACACAACTTTTTCAATGTTCTTTGATAAAAGCTCATTCCCATTTCTAAAAACAAAGCCCAACCAAACAGCAATAAAAAATCCAAACCAATCTATCTTGGCAATGGAAGATTTATTTTGCTGAAAAAAATCTGTTTTGAATTTATACTGCCCCTGCAATGGTCTCAATATAACAAATTCTCCTTCTGATGCTGGAAGGCTGTGATTCCTGTAACTTTTGGTATCATGAGAGGATATTGTACAAAAAGATCATCCTACTTTTCGTTTCCCAGTTACATACCACACAGATGAATATTCCATGGAGAAGACTTAGGGGGAAAAAAGTATTGCTAGATGATACCAACTGAGAGCCACTGGTATTTGATAGTAGAGAACAGATGAAAGACTGTCTACTAGATAGTAGAGGACTATTGAAAGACAATAGTTTTTTGTTTTTCTTATAAGGACTAAAACAAGCAAAKGACATCCATTTGAAGTAGTGTATTGCAAGTACTTATGGACAATCRCCCAGTCCATTAACTTCTTGCCCCAACACTGGGAGGAAGCAGATCTGAATATCTCATGGGTCAAATACAGCAAAGAGCCCAAGCCAYTGAACAGCAGTATGATCCAAGTCCACTCTTTCAGGGCTTCATGAAATGAGCAGCACTTGCCAGTGATGCAGAACCACCTCTCCCTGTGCTTGGGACAAGCTGTTTGGTGTTCCTCCATTTTCCTGTTTGTAAAAATGAGAAAGCAACCTTTTCCTCTATCCCTGAGAAGAGGGGTGAAATAATAGGAAATAACAGGAAAGCCCAAGAGAGTAAATRCTTCTTTAGTTAATTGAAGTCAACAATAAAGCTCTCACTGATTTCAGCACAGTAAGGATTTTGTGCAAGGATTTCTCAGTCTTATCACAGAGTCACGGAACGGGACCACTGAAGTAATAAAGTTCAACCTCCCTGCTCAAGCAGGGCCCTCTAGAACACACTACACAGGATCATGTCCAGATGGCTTTTGGGTATCTCCAGAGAAGGAGACTCCACAATGTCTCTGGGCAACCCGGCATCAAGATTTCCCTCTTAAGCCTTAATCCTGGCCTGATGCAGTGCACTAGAGGGAAAGCAGTCTGATCAGAAGCAGGTAGAGAAAAAAGGATATTTATCCCAGTAATGAGCCAAAGTATTGTGTACACCAGTCYGAGACAGACACCAGCTTCTGTCAGGAGAAAAAAACCTGCTGCGACAGGACCAGGAAGAGGGAAATTATAGTAGTAAAAGCTGTGCCAGTGTCAATAGCCTGGTTTCTGCCTTGCTCCTCTTGTGAAGGCAGCAAGGCAGGAAGGACTGCTTCCCAGGACACACTTGTTACTGAAGCCTTTGGAATGCAATCCTACCTCAGGAGCGACAAAGTTGGCGGTGTAGCAGGGAGTCATGAGCAGCCCGTTCTCCGCTCTCAGTTGCTTGGCGAACCCAAAGTCACAGATCCTGATAGAGTCTGGGTTTCCTGACTCATCCATGTAGAGGATGTTACTTGGCTTGAGATCTCGGTGCACCACCTTAAGAAAGAACAGTGAGAAACAAGTGAGAAGAGGAGGGCAGGGAGCACTCAGGCTTGGCTGCCCTTTCTGTTCTGCTGGTTGAGGTAGGTCAAGAGCTCATGCTGAAAATAYCTAAATTTTGGAAAAAAAGTTACTTAAAAGGCTTGGACAAATGAAGGGAAAAAAAATTAAAGTCTGTTAAAACAGGAAATAAAATGTTCGACAACCTCTGCTGGTGCATTAAGATGGAGGCTGCTGCTCTAAGGGGAGACAACTTTCTGAGAGGTCAGAGTGGGTTGTTGTACAAACATTGTGGTGGCAGAGTCTCCTGAAGCTTGATGGCCCTGAAAACTCAGCTGAAAGGTGAAGAAGAAATCATGTCATATGAAGAAAAGTCTTCCTGCTATGGACCTATGTAAGGATCTTCATGTGACTRCCCATGTRAATGACTMACACCTGAAAGGAGGGATTYTTTTTTTCCTAATTTMAAAATGTATTCACACAACTTCACGTGACTGTGTTTTACCAGACATGCTGCATTTCAGTGGCAGAAAAACAGCCTTTATTTGTTATAGCAAGACTGAAAAATTACCATGAAAGCASAGAAGCCAAAGCCAAAATGCATTTTGTTTTAACCATGAAGCAAGGAAAGCAGTAAATATTTGACTAGTTATCCAAACTGCTTGTGCCTGAAATGCAGAAAAGGAGATATTTTCAAACAGTTGTATATAAAAAGCTTAGACTTTAACAGTCAGATTTTAACAGCATGTCAGAAGGCTTTCCCATCAGCTGCTCAAATTGCCATTTCATTTGGAGAGCTGAGCATTTGATTGTCTACCTATCTGCTGACTCAGCTACCCTATTTGAAATGTTGCTAAAAGTTCAGGTCCTGAAATAGTGATTGCAATAAAAAGTAAACAACTAATATCTCAAGAAGGCACATGAACTTGAAAATCCCTATAGAGTGGGAAATTAAAATATTACTTTGGCATGTTTCAGTTCAGTGGAAAATGGATAAAAAGCCTATTACTTGGTGTTTAGCCTATTATTTAGCCTAAAAAGCCTATTATTTGGTGTTTCACAAACCAAATGTAATTATAAATATGGAAAAAGTTGGGTTTAGTTTTCTTTTTGGAAAAAACATATTAACATTTCAGGGAAGAAAAATCACAAAATCAAAAAATAATTTTCTTTTTCCAGAAATGTGAAGAAGGTTGATGCAGCTAAGGCAAAACAGCAATGCTTACGCCCTGAGAGTGCAGGTAGTCCACAGTCCTGGTGATGGTGCACAGCACAGCRCTGGCCTCCCGCTCCGAGAAACACTTCTGCCGAAGAATGCGGTCCAGGAGCTCACCTCCCCGCATCAGCTCCATCACCAGGTACACGAATTTCCCATCATCATAGACCTGCAACAGTGACAGGATATATACACATTTTGGACCCATTAACTTGGTAAAGGTTGGTTCTTTAATCAGTGTTGGTATACTTTGTGTAAGATGTTGCAAGAAGAAAATGTCACCTAATGTGGGGGAAATGTGCTTGTTGTGCTTAATAAAAAAAAACAAACAACCTTTCTAAAATAACTTAATCATCACTTTTTTCTTGTGTCTGTAGCAGCTTGCTGATTTGTCCACACAGAAATACAGGTTTCCTGGTCTGCTATCATGCCAGCAGAGCAGGCTCAGCTGTTAAAAAMAGCACCACCCCACACAGCTTCAAATGTCTGCTGGCTCTCACCCAAGCATTCTTCTAAGTAGAGTTTTCTCTTTCCACTTCCACAGGGTAACACTTGCCATTTCAAATATCARTGTTTTCCTTTGACTCATAAAGAACTGTATTACACTGTTGGCCAACACTTCCATCTAATGATATGATATAGTTTATATTTGCAGTTCTGGTGAAAATGTTGTTGATACCAGCTGCAAGACATATTTACATTCAATGTCAACGGCAATTGGTAAAAGACATTTTGTCATTTAAATTAGAAGATGACCATTTTCATGTCATCATCCTTTATCTGGCCTATAATAACAGGCAGTGCAATAGTCATCCATGCCACATGTTTTTGGAAAGGAACATAAAACTTTATTTTGCACTGATTTTGAGATACTTTTTAACACTTAGGAATTAGCTGAGACTTTCCTGAGGGCATGTGATTAGCAGAGTTGTGTAGACTTCTCTGAGGTCTAAACCAAAATGTACTGGCCACTCACACAAGCAGGATTTTGTTCTCTAAACTCTGAATCTGACATGGTGTAGACAATCTTAGGTGAGACGTCAAGCAACAGAAGTAAAACATCTCTGACTAAAGGCGATTACTTCATTTAAGCATAGTGAAAGGTATTTTTCATAAGAAATGCTGAAGAAAAATACCGTAATGTCTTCTCAGGCTGCTTGAGTAGAAGGTAAATAGTCCCTGGCATTAAAACACTGTCAGGGGAAATCTTGGAAGCTCTCTGAGCTCTCCTCTTCCCAACAAAGCAGATATCAGAGGCTGATGGAATGGCTGCTGCTTGTGAAAGATCATCGCTGTCCCTCAGTGCCACTGTRTCTGTGCTCAGCAATGTGCCCAGAACACCCAGCTAGGGAGATCTCCTTCTAAACAGTGCTGCCAGCACAAAGCCATCTTGTCATTCTCCAGCTCTGTGCYCCTTTGGTTTTATTTATTTTTTGTGTTAGACAGTAACTGGAGAATGCATAYCCTGACCAGTCTTTCCAGATGCTATCCTGTACTTTATTAAGTCGTGTTTTTCTCCTTGATTTCAATGGGTCTGGTTTTAGCTCTGACCTTCAACTGAAGAATTTTCCAGACAGGGACTAATAAATGAGCCTGACTATAAGGTGAAAATCATTTAATGCTGAAGTGCTCAAAGACTACTCACATCTTTAAGAGTAATGATGTTTGGGTGCTGTCCATATCGCAASAGTATCTCAATTTCTTCMGAGGGGTCTCTCTTGCTCTTATCAATTATCTGGAATAAACAAAGCACAGTGCAGTCAAATACCAGATAGCAGCACTAAGCACAAACCAACCAATTTCTACAGTTTAAACTAATTAATAATGATAATTCTTCTATTAATCATTATTCTAGGAGAGGACAGCTCAAACCATGTGCAAATGTGAGCCACGCTGACTGTCTGCCAAAGCCAGATGGAGCAATAATTAGTTCAGATTCTGGAGGCGTAGGCCCTCTTTCTGATGCCTACAGTTCTGTTTATCCATAAATAATGGCAGTTACAAGAAGTGCCATTTAGAAATCAAACAACCTTGAGAGTTTTTAAATAATCATAGTTCTAAAATGATCCCTTTGACATAAAAAATTGATGGAATCATAATATTGGCACATGCTATGTATATGCTGATAAATTAATAAAAACTAATTGTTGACACAAAATGTACAGACATTTACTGTCAAGGGAGATTTGAACTGAAGGCAAACACTTGGCTCTTTGGGTCATGCTGTTGTAGTGATTGCATTTGGCTATGTAACTATAGTTACCACAGATTGCATTTGGCTATGTAACTAAACTCCACCCATTCCTAAACTGGAAGGAAATCTGCTTTATATATAATTTTAATGTCATCAGTGTCTTTTGCCTTATCAGAAAGTGTAGTAAGACATGCAAACTTTTTAATTGTGTAGTAGCAGGTCTTAGAAAAACATGACACMGGCTGCTTAGAGAGCATCACTGCATGGAAAACCAGCTATTAGGATAGGACTCTCTTCCCCTCAGTGATTCTGTTCCYTATATTTGGGAAATCAATCAATGAGCTTTAGTCATTTGTCCAGTTGAGAGCATTGATTAATGTTCCTCACTTTGCAGATTTAAATGATAAATGTGAAACAAAAAATAATCTAAAGGGAAATCTCTGCATTTTGGAATCTCAAATGCAACTGCACAGGAAATGGCAAAAGACTCATTCTACTAGAAACTCATTAGAAGTACAATATTTTGGCTCCATTTCCTATTGCTAGAAAACAATAGCAGTATTTTGAATAACAGCTTTACCAAAGTGAAATGAGTGGTATTTTCAGAAAATTGTAATTCCATTTTTACCTTGGATTTCAAGTCTTCCAACCTTAAATGGGGTTAGTTCTCTCCAAGAACTAAGCACAGAGCACAGATTTAAAATGATGGTGTCAGCAGGGAAAAGCAACTTTTTAAAAACCTCTTTTGCAAATGAGTATAAGTGCCTGCCTGCTTTTTTATAAAACGCATGCATTTTTCATGGTTTAATTATGGTGATACAAATTGAAATACATGAGTAGGATTTTATGCATTAGCCATAATAAGCATAACTGAATATATCAGAGGTTTCATCACAGTTGGCATGTATGTGCAGTGATAGTGATGGTCAGTAGCTGTTCATGGCTCGGGTACGCATTCGAAGCCACATCAGTTTTTGTTTCTGAATTAACAGAAGTGTGACAAATATAAGTGCAACAGGCAGCTGATGAGGGCTGTTGTCCACATTTGAATAAATAAAGGAACACCTCAAGAACGGGCAAATGAAGAAAAATTCTGCTGTTGTTCACCCAGTTTAGTTGAGACATTACCAAGAAGCCAATGAATCCCCGATCAACTGACTCCTCACGAATAAAAACACAGTGACTGAATGYGTCCCACTCAACCAATAATTCTAACATACAAAAAAAAAAATGTTCAAGGCCAATTCCTTGGCTTCACTAATATACCTCTTGTAAAGTTGCTGGAATAACTCTCATGTGCCCCTGTTAGCATCTGCCTGCCTTGTACCAACCAGCACAACCTACTGTGGCAAGTACAGCCACCAGTGTGACACACCACTGCCACTATGCTACTGTAGCAAGCAATATATCAATATATTCCAGATTCCCTTTTTGTTCCAGCTCCTTGTGAAAGGACATAACATATTCAGAGCTGTGGAAAATTTTAAGCAGCTATTAATAATGCAGGACTATAAATGCTTATATATTGCCTAAAAAATATCCAAACCAAAAATAGTCTCAGCTGCTGAGAAAACTAAAACCAACATAACCTGAAGCACTCTGCTACTGATGTWGTAGTAAGAGCAGTAGATTACATTTAATGCTTTTAATTCATAATATTCTATGTAAATACAAATTGCAGACAGTCCCACTAAATATGCATGCTGTTTGCTTTAATGTGTGCACAACCTACGGTACAGTGATTAAATGGACAAGCTGCCCCAAACCACATAAAAATCATTGTCAGAGATGTGAAGGCACCTGCCAAATTCTTCTCAGTCCCTAGGCAGTCTGATTGGACAGACCAGAACCATTTTTCCCTCCACGGCAAGGGACCGTCACCCTTGAGCCTCTCTTGAATGTGCCTGTGACTTACACTTGGCCCACGACTGATAAAGCAGCTGAGGAAGTGTCTGCTGCAACTTCAGCAGAAATCTCTCTGCAGCTCAGACTGGCTGCAGCATGCATAGTTTCTTTATTCATACATTGCAATGGGCACAGCAGTTCATTAAATATGCCYCACAGCTCCACTGTGATACCCAGTTCTCCTGATCTTCCTTTTCATAAAGTCACAGAACCATTTAGGTTGGAAAAGATCTCTTGAGATCATCAAGTCCAACAATTAACCCAGCATTGCCAAGTCCACCACTAAACTACATTTCTAAGTGCCACATCTACCTGTCTTTTAAATGCCTCCAGGGACTGGTGAATTCACCATTTCCTTGGGCAGCCTGAGAACTACTTTACAACCTTTTCAGACAGTTTTTTGTTGTGTTAAATCCACCCAGAATYTCCTGTGGTGAAAAAGAGCATTTACCACCCTGGTCCCGTTTCCTGTGAGACATTGTGTTTTGTATGAATACAGACTCTTCACCGCTCCTCTGTGACAGCTCATGAACCTCCTGCAGCTCTTCCTGTGCAAGGAATGATGTCTTTTCTTTAGGAAACTACTTTCTGATTTGAATTCAACTAAAATGTATACATAAACACTCTCTGGTACAGAATTAAGGGAAGATCTCAGCTACCAGTCCTGAGAAGTTGAGTAACRAGCAATGATGCTACTTTTTTATTTTTCTCCGTAGATGTGTGGCAAAGRCCAACCCAAAGCCACCACAATGTGTAAGTAACACAAAGGTGACATGAGCTCTACTGTACCTYGGCAGAGAAGAGCTATGAAGCACAAGGGTCTTCTACTGCCCTTCAGAAGAGACAGAAACTGAACCATAAAGCAAATAGACTTTTTTTTTTTGTGCACTGGACACACAAACACTGTTCAGGAACTCATTTGTGTCAAACAGTGTAGAAACAATTCCAGAGTAAAATGGGCTTAGCACAGTCAATAGTGTCCTTTGTTCTAATAGGGGACTTGTTTGTTTTTTGACTATCACATCATTTGTGTGACTAACTGAAAGAAAAATGTGCATTTTCATGCCTCAGGGATTTAGGGTAATAATCTCATGATATTTTAAAGTGAGTCAATTTCCTTTAAAGGGCAATACTGAACACTTTTTCTATTAAGGAAGAAAGGATCAGGACAGATTTTCAAAATCCCAATTAGTGCATCTGTCCAGTYTTACAAGTCCTTCTACAAGTCTTCTGTATGGAAAAAATAATCCAATTCTCCTTTACTAATAGATTTTCAATGGCTTTAGCCTTGCCTTGCCAGAGCAGACTGATGAGTATAAAAGAGAATATCAATAAAATTCTGTGTGGGTAAAGCCTTGCTGAAATTGGCACAGCAACTAAACAGACAATACATATATTTGCTTTTTGGCTTTTTGTAAAAGTATTTGCATGCTGCTAACTGCATAGATAAATTTCTTCTTCTGGACTTAGTTATGCCCTTAGCAGATGCTGCAGGCTTCAGTAGTTTGATATCACYCACCAGCTGGGAATTACAGCTTTCACAGCCTTGCCAAAGAAACCGTGTGAGCACTCCCTAAGACACTTTCACTGAAGCAGCCCTGCCAGTACAAATTGCCTTCTCAAACACTGAAATTAACCTGAATGACTGTGCACGAAAAGAATGGAGAATGGCTGTGTTYCTCACACGGAACTCTCCATCACTTCAGTCGTGAGATTAGAAAAAAGCAAGAGGTGGGAGGAGACAGTTTAACTGTCTCTGCTGTCTGGAAAATGAACAGCCTGAAAGAAAAGGTGAGAGAAAAGCGAGAGAGTGAAAGAGGACAGAAAARAAACACGAGATGCACTGATGGGAAGAGCAGTGATACAGGCCTGAGGAGAAAGGATGGGGCACTGGCCAGGCTAAGCTGGAGCTAGCAGCAAGGAAACTGCTCTGGTGGGTCTTTCTGCGCTGGGGAGAAGGGACTGTGCATCTTTAATAACCAAAAAAAAGTCTGTATTGAAACATTTGCTGGGCTCTGACTTGATTTTAAGTGAAACATGTCTGATCATGTCAATTGAAATGGGTGATGGCAGCCACCTCCCTTCCAGGGGAAGCTGAATGCACCTAGTACTGGCACAGGGGTTTAACCTTTAAYACCATGGTGTGTGCCACTACCATAGACTGCAACAAAAATTCTCCATTTTATTTTATAGATTTATTCCGAAACAAAACCCACAAACATGGGGAAGCACTGAAGGTACACCTTGCAGCACAGGAATAGATAAAATTTAAGTTGAGGAGATCTGAATTAGSAGTTTTGGTGGGTCATGCTGCAGAGGCACAAGGCATAGCTCTTTTTTTGCCCCATCCCAAAGGGGATCAGCCTCTGCTTTGTCTTCAGCTGTCCCAAGTGACCCTTCCTGGCACCTGAAACTGAGATGCCAGAGTGTGAATTGGGGCAGCTGAGCTACTGGCACAGTCCCCATCTGCTGCTCCAGCTTCAGCAGCAGCGAGTCCAGCAGAAGGCAGGGAAGACACCGGGGCATTGCCACACCTTGTACAGGCACAGCTGAAGCTGCCGCTGCGTTTAGGCAGTGGGATGATGTAAAGCTCCTTCTGACCAGAGAACTTATAATGGCTATGTGAAAAAAGCATG